GGGGTGGGTGTGGGGGGGCAGGTCCGGGGCCGGGGGTGGGGGGGAGGGGGGGGGGTTTTTTTTTTTTTTTGTAGCAGGGAGAGGTGGGGGCGTGTGTGCATGTGCTTGTAAAAAGGAGGAGGGGTAGGGGCTACTGAGTTCATCCCCCCCTGCTGGATCCCCTCCTCCCAGTAACACACCCACTTTCCCAAACCTTCCAGCCTACCCCTTTTCTTCGCTGCAATCTTCTTGGGTTTGAAAAGTGCCGTGTGTGGCCGTCTTTGCAATTATTGTTCTTAGAAGGGATGAAAAAAAGAAATAAAATAAAATAGATAGAAGAGGGGTGATGCATCACTTTGTTTTTAGCAGCCACACCTGGTTGTTGATCTGAGCTGGTGAGGTGATTCAATTCTCCTTCCCGGCAGATCGCACTCATTCTCACCCAAGTGCTTGCCTCTACAGGCTGCTGACTAGCCCATCCCCTCACACACATTTGGATCGGTATGGTCTCCGAGTCCCATGACCTCACTGCATTCCCGTTCCTCTCTGTCAGGTTCGTTCTGTTACTGTGGTTTTTCCACCGCTTCCCACCCCGCCATGTCTGTTTTCCTCCCTCTCCGTCAGCACAGGTGGCCTCAGGAGTAAAATCAATTATCCGGTTATTCAAACGAGCTTTTCCAGATCCATATTTTTGCATCCTGGACAACAACTCCCCCTCAAGCAACTTCCCTGTGCTTTTATTTTTTGTTTTTTTGTTTTCCTCTTTACAACTAACATTACTATCTACGTTCTCCTTCAAGGCAGAATATATAGAGCAGAGATAGAGAACAGAAGTGTGTGTGTTTGTATGTTTATGGTGGGAAGGGGGTGGAGGAAGGGTGGGAGGGGAGTATACAGGGATTCTGAATGAAAGGTTTGTTTTAGAGAATGACTATCACGTCCAGCTTTGTGAAAACGGCTCTTGTTCTTCACGGCCAGGAAGAAGCAGAGGAGGCAGCGAACGAGAGAAGAAATGCAGCCGCTATCTCTGCGTGCGTGTGTGCATGTGCGTGTTTGTGTCAGCCAGCCAAGACTTCCGCTCCTATCTGATAGCCTTGCATGCAAATGAAACCTCACAAACATGTACACAGGGGCATGAGGTCAGCACAGCTTTCCACTGAGAGACATGCTAGACGTCAGACACCGAGCTCTCAGGGTATTTGGAAGCACATGCGTTTGTCTGAGTGCGAGGGACAGATGAAAGTTCTGCTGAGGTGAAGCGTCGGTATTTTCCCTTCTTCTGGTCGTCAGGAGAGTCTTGTCGTGTTTCAGCTGCATAGTGTTAAATGCCTCACTGTTTTATCCCCCCTGCTGCCGCGTCGGTGTTCACCGGCCGAGGTACATGCAACACAAAAGCAAAACTCCTCGAAGAGCAACTGTTGTTTAAAGTGGGACCATTAAGCCCTGTCTACACAAAAGAATATTTATTTTAAACTAGTTATTTATAAAAAATAAAAAAAAGGTGGAAAACATTAGCTACTTCAAAATACAGAGGTGGAAAGAAGATATGACATTTTGTTTACAAGCAAAATATTTTAATCTTGTTTCTTGGCACTGATTGGCTGTTCTCCCAGAGCGGAAATATGGCGGATTGTAGATGTTAGATTCTGCAGTAAAACAAACAAAAAAAAAAAAACAGTTATGAGCATTTATAGAAAGGATTTGTAGTATTTGCAGATTTTAGGTTTTCCTGTTTTGCTGTCATCCTTTACCCCCACAAATACAGGGGCGTTCACTGCATAATTTTCAGTCCAGGTTTAACTTGATTTTTGTGCTTTTCATGGTTATATTTCCACCAAAATATTTGAAATCCTATTTCTGTTTCTCAGATTGTGTTGTAAAAATCACTGAACAAGCATCTACCATTTTTAAATTAGCTACCAGCATTTTGTAGAAAAAAAGAAACAGTGACAGAAGGAGAGGCATGTGATTGGCTAACTGATGAGGCTAAAGTTAGCATCTGCTTTTGAAGGGTCCTATAGGAGGATTTGAACATCCTCGCCCTGGTTTTGCTCTCTTTTGAGGGAATAAATACCTTCCTTCATGGAAAGTCTGAAGTGTTTGGCATATCGAAAGCATGAAATAAGCAAACCAAGGTGTTTTGTGAGTTTGAGGTGTTTGGATCCAGTTCCAGACAGGCTGAACGATAATATCTTCTGTCTTTGGTATCATGACGATTGAACCACCACACTTATAATTGCTGAACAAAAGAGACAAACCAAGAGACACATCTACTAGTTTCAATTCCCTTCAACAGCCTGAAAGATAAACTCATATTCCAACTCTGCTGTCTTACTACAGAAGGCACAGGCTATTGTAGCAGGAAGTGACACAACTTTGAGTTCATCAGGTGTGTGAGTTCAGGGCTTTTCTCATAGGTCCGAACTGCTTTTAAATACTGTTAACAAAAAAGAATGCCCCTCTAAACAAACAGAGGTTGTATTTCTTTAAAACAGTTTACCAAATCATCATTTTTTCTTTTTTTACATATATGTAAAGTTTTACACAGTCAATAAATAACACCCGAATGGTTCCAGCATTGTTGAGGTATCTCCACAGCCTCACCCAAAACACAGACCTGACTTTTTCCCATTGTGGAGCTTTTCTTTCATTCTCCATTAAAAATATACTGAATGGAAACATGTGTTTTTATCACAGTACGACATCTGGTACTATAAAGTTTTGTTGTTTTTTTCCCCCTTCTTCTTCCAGAATGAAGACTGACGGGTCTTCCCGCCTCTCCTCCTCATCTTCCTCCCCTTCCTGTGAAAGTGAAACTCCGCTGTATCCAGATGATAAGGTCACCACTGCAACAGCTGGACAGCTGACCTCCCTTAACCTCTTCGCTGCCCTCTGTGGGGGGGGTTTGGAGACGGCCATAACCATGGAAACAGAGACATTTGACCCTTGACCTAATTCCCTCCTTTCCTTTTTTTCTCAGCACCCAAACATCCAGGTGCCATTGCTGCTGTAGTGCTAGACCAAGAACTCCGACAGAATATGAAACTCTTAACACTAGATAGGTAACTTTATCTCATTTTCTAGGCCTTCGATCTCTTCTGCAGTACATTATTAGAGCATTTACTGTTGCAGTTTATTCCATTTACAGACTTAGAATCGGATTTTATTTTGGCTTCAGCCAAGTAGTTGTCAGATTTTTCTCACCTGAAAACCTGTGAACCAAACCTGGAGAGCATGCGTACGCAATTACATGCAAAGGAAAAAAACAAAAAAAAACAAAACAAAACCTTTCATGAATACTGATAACATGTATTTATTTATTTATCTATGATGTATGTATGTATTAAATGAAAAAGGTGTGAGAATCTGCATACAGGGTTGAGCTGCAAAAAGAAGACGGCATTTATGAGCATATTTAAAAGTCAAAGGTAATGTCTACTTACACAAGAAAAAAAAAACCCTACCTCAGCACTGAGTCAAACAGTAGAAATATATATGAAATATTTATTTTCAGAGGTGAATGTTAAAATAAAATGCAAAAAAAAAGTACAAAAAAAAAAAAAAAACATCAATCCAAAGCCTTACTCTAGCCATCAGCCTCATTCTGATGGACCCTGTTAGTTTGGACCTTTAAATACACAGTATCAACGATTTACCTGATCATTTTCACTGACTGAATGTTTATCAGAGCCAGCCTCTCTGAGATTAAGTTCCTTATCTTGCCACATCTATAACAAAAGTGATGTATTCAAAGTCCAGAGTACTATATTTATTATGATCCACGACATGGTGTTTTCACACAGAGAGAAATAATGCCAGGAGGACCTTAGTAGCACCACAGGCGCATGCAGCAGAGCAGCAGATCTGCGTCTGCCTGTCTGAGCACAAGTCTCATTTCACCTGTGATGTCCTGCACAAGTCCTGCAGGAGACGGTGACCCGCCTGGACTGGGCATGGAGCGGTGTAAGATTCTAACGTGATGACAACTTTGGAGAAAAATAGCAATTTCATTATACCAAGGCTTTTATAAAAAAAAAAAACCCTAATGGAAAATATAAAACACCCATTTAAATCAAGCATGTAGAGACAATTATAATAATGCTCTCAGACATTTTTTTTAAATTTAAAGTTATTTGACAAAGAGCTACGCAAAAACAATTTATAAGAACATAAAATGTTGGGATCATTTTCAAGGGCGTGTTGTGTAGACTGAGATATTAGTGAGCAGGTTAATTATAGCTCACTTTGCCAGTAAAATATTTTTACTTTAACAAGAGCAATGAACACTCCTGTTTCCACGACACGACTGTCCTTGTTTTTGCCAACCAGAAATATTTCCAAACAGCTGAATCGGTATTTCTCTCGTAAGTGAGGGAAAACCGTGGCACTCTTTCTTCAGCCAGCTAACCAGCAGTGGCAGTCGCTGAAAAACGAAAACACGGCAGAAGATGTTGATGGCTATAAAAGTTCAACTTTTTCTTTTTTGAAAGCCTTGATAGTGGAAACCGGACCATGCCCAGTCAGGACAAGCGTCAGGAGAATGAATGTTTGCGAGCGAGTTATACAGCCTGGGATAGTATTTTTTCCCCTCACCTGATGCCTCATTGCAGCGCTCCGTCACCAAAGCAATGTGGCACACGAACCTCGCAGGACCACGGGGCCCCACGCCCTTCGATTAGGCTCCTCTGCGCGGTCCTGCATTTACAAACTTTCCAGATTGTAACACAAGACACGCTGAATGTAGTACGTGCTGTGTTCTGAGCCTGGGAACGCAGGCTTCAACGAGGCAACATCCAGATGTACTCACCAGAAACCACCACACACTTACACTCGCCGAACAAAAACCAAGGGAAGCATTTTATTTATCTCAACTCACAGGTATTTTACCTTCGCCTATATACTGTAGATAGAGCGGTGTTACAGAGAATTACATCTGAGCAAATGCTGAGAAAATTTCAGAGGTGTTAAGTTAAAGAATATGTTTGTACTGTACATAATATGTGTTTGAGTGAATTTTTTTTTCTTTTCTGATACAACAAAAGCACTAATTAAGTTATACGATGACCAACAAGGTTTGGCTTTTGATTTCTTTCTTTCTTTTTTTTTGTTTGTTTTTTACTGTCATGGGATAGTCTTGCAAAATGGATGCCACTATGAGGACATTTTCTAATGCTGTAGTTCTGGAATATAAAATAAAATAAAAAATAGAAAGAAAAAAAATGATTAATACTTGACACAATTACTTCTTGATACTTAGGTACGACATGGCATCTATGCAATATTTACACCTTTCGAAAAAATTAGTTTACAGAAATGAACCAAATGTAGAAATAATGTTGATAATGTTTTTAAAAAAATTAAATCGAAAATGTTTGCCATTTGTACAATTTTTGTCCTCCAGTTTTGAAATGGAAAACCTTTTGGCTTTTTTTTTTTCTCATTTTCTTTTTGCTAATGAAATATTTTTGGCGTTTTCAGCAGTGTTTTGCATTTTGGAAAATGTTTTTATTCAGCTTCATAAAAAAGGTTACGACCCGGGCTTTGGCTTGCCTTGCTGTGTCTTCATTGTAAATATTTCATATCATGCACATTGTGATGCTACTAAGAAATGATAATTTAAACTTAGTTTATTGCTTTAGATTGTATTGATTCTTTATAGATACATGCAATAAATGATATTTAAGAAAATTGAAGACTGGTTTGTGTTTCTTGCTCATCTTCTCCTAAAAGATTGTTTTTATAACTCGTCCTGATTCATAAAAAAAAAAAGAATCAAAATTGAGCACATATTGTTTTCTACGTCTATATGCATAATTTTAAAAAGATTATCTCGCAATAGTTGCAGCATTAGCACTGTCATTGTTTTTGTGCTTGGTTGTCCCGACCTCCAGCCATGATGAAACAGCTAGAGGGATTTAATATCATGCTGATTCTTTGTTTGAATGACAGGCGAGGTTCCAAGTTTCTTTGCACTTGTAAAACTATTTATACTCCTTTGAACTTTTCACATAATGTCAGGTGAAAACTATAAACCTTAAGATTATTTTCATGCTAAAACCAAACCAAAGTAGAACACAAACGTGGAGTGGAAGGAAAACAAAACATAGTTTCTAGTTGCACTTTATTATAAATAAAAATCTGCGAATGGGCTTAATACTTTGTAAAACCACCTTTGACCCTGATTAGTTTATTGGTATGTCTCAAACTGTTGAACATTTAGAGGTAAAAGTGACAGAAAATGTTTTCCATTCCTTTTTTGGCAATACAGCTTAAGGGTTAGCCAGACTGAGGCTAGTGCATCTGTGAACACAGATTTCCAAGTTTTGCTACAGATTCTCTGTTGCAATACTGTCTCGACTTTGACTGGACCATTCCAACACATCAACATGCTTTCACCTAAACCATTTCATTGTATCTCTGGTGGTATGAAAGCTTAACCTCTCCTCTAGTTACAATTCTTCTTCAGGTTTCCATCCAGGATTATCCTTTTTTTATTTTTAGCTTTGTCCTCTTCCTCACCAAATCTGACCAGTTTTTATGTCACTGCTCTCAATAAATCAATACAATTTTATTTGTATAGCACATTTCATCAGCTTTACGTCATAACAAACACAAAAACACAAACTCATGCAACATAGAATCAACAATCAAAACATCACATTAAGTCAAGTGTGATTATGTTTCAAATACAACTTTAAACATGCTAAAGAAAACCATCTTCAAACTATCATGATGCCACCATCATTTTTCACTGAGAGCATGGATGTTGTCATAACGGCTGGATTTGAGGAGTGCACCACTGACCGTGGCAAAAAAACAAAACAAAACAAAAAACACTGACCGTTGCCCTGACAACGCGGGGCTCTTTGATAAATGCTCTGCTCTCAGGTCAGGTGGACTCCCCCTCCTTATACGGACAGGTTTATCATTCTCTACCCCCGCTTCGAAGTTCTCTAATACTTATTCCCTGCTCTGTGAGCTATGTTTATTGTTCTTCGTGACGCTGTTCTCATGTTCTCTAATGTACTGTGCCTCTGTCGCCTTTAAAAACATCTGAGTTTATATTGAGATTAAATCACACACAACGTGACTCTGACCGGGTGATTACTGTTGCACTGGGTTTTACATAAGGTCAAGTAACACTTTTCATGTTTGTATAAAAAAAGACTTTAAAAAAGACGTTCCTTTTACGTTAAAATTATGCACTCTTTCATTTTGAGCTGGCAGAAACAAGTCCAACTAAACACATCAACATCTGCAGATGTAGCATACTCAAAAAAGTTCAAAAGTAGTGCAAATACTGTTCATGAAGCCCTGCACTCGAGCTGAAAATGATATATTTGTCCTTGAAGTTTTGTAGCTGTTGTGGAGGAATTGTTTGGAACAGCTGGAAAAAGACGGGTTGAACCGCAGCGACGTGCTGGTTGACTGACAGTGAGGAAGGTATAGAATAATAGCCCTGGGGTGGAGGTCATACATTAGGCAGATGTCCCAGAAGCACAGATCGAGGGCTAATGCGAGGGCAAAATCCTTGAGGGTAAAGTGGAAAATATTGTCTGTAAAGCAAACATCATGTCACTGTTATTTAATTACTGAGTCCATCCCCTGCTTGATTTGTTGCTAATGTTTAAGTCAAGTCTATTTCAGTTTGCTAAAACGTAGAAAATATGTTGCAGGCATGTTCCGTCCTGACAGGTCTCCTGTTTCGTGGCTTGTTTGCTGATAGAGTGATATTTTCAGTGCTTTATGTTGACCGAGTCAAATATGGAAGACATGTGGTACTTTACCTTAGACTCAAATAAAGGCATTCTCGATAAGACCATGCAAATCGCAATTGCGAACCCATTGAACTTCACCGTGTGTGAATAGCGTCTGCATGTCTGGGTGTGCACGAGGCTCTGTATCCATTTACACAAGTGAGCATATGTGTTATCTGGGGTTTGTGGGGGTGGGCTGGGGCAGATGTAAGAATGGAGAGGTCCACATGAGCAGCATAAAGTAGCCTGTGGCCCCAAGGGGGTCATCCGACTTATGGACAGGGACCTTCAGTGGTTCCAAAGGAAATGGTACGCTTCCGGAAAAGCTGTCTGGGACACCACATTAGCAACTGAGTGTATAAGTGTGTGTGTGCGTGTGTGTTTTTAAAAGCAAGCAGGCTGTGTGGCCATTTGTGGATGTAACGCTCCACATCCCCACAAATCCCACTCTCCATCCCCACCGCCCAATCAAAACAGACAGCCTTCAGTTGTCCTGAGTGACCACTAATAGCTGACATATTTTCAGTATAACACTGGGTTGGTGGTATGAATCACAGGTTTCTTCTGTTTTTGTCACACTAAAATGTTTAAGAGTATTAAAGAATGCTTATATTAGATAAAGGTAACCTGAACTTTCGAATTATAATTTCATTTATACAGGGGAAAAAACCCCATCCAAGGCAATCTAGT